TGCGAGGCCGACAGGGCCAGGAGGCCCAGCTGCGACCAACGCCGGTCGGGGCTCTCCCCGGACCACTCGATGGACGCCATGGCGCCGAGGTCCGCAGTAGGGTTCAGTAGGGTTAGGGTTTAGGGTTTAGGGTTTAGGGTTTAGGGCTGAGGGTTGAGGGTTTAGGGTTTAGGGTTTAGGGTTTAGGGGTTTAGGGTTTAGGGTTTAGGGTTTAGGGTTTAGGGTTTAGGGTTTAGGGTTTAGGGTTTAGGGTTTAGGGTTTAGGGTTTAGGGTTTAGGGTTTAGGGTTTAGGGTTTAAGGTCTTGAGGGTTCAGGGTTGAGAGTTTGAGGCTTTGAGAGGTTTTTTGAAGGCTGTTGTGATTCAGGGCTGAGGGAGGACCTCTTCACGTCTTCGGCGCGGTCTACAAAATCCGCCCGGCATGGAGGGTCGTCTACGTGTTCCCTGCCATGCTCCCAGCGAGGCACCGCAGTTAGTTTGTTAGTCCTTCTGGCTGGATGGGGGATGGCTTTGGCTTTTTTGGTTTTTTTTGTGGATTTCTTTTTCCGTCTTAGGGCAATATAATCTAGGTGGAATGGAGGTACGGTCTCGGTTCGGACTGCGAGCAAAGAGCAAGGTGCCACGTCACAACCGCCATGCAAAAAAGAACGATGCTGAGCCACTTCACTCCTTAAACCCCACACCCGAACCCTGAAACATTAAGGCCTCAAGCCCTTAAAACTCCCAAGCCCAAACCCTTCAAGCCGTAAACCCTAGCCCTGAAACTCTAAAACCCTTAATCCCATAAACCGCACCCTTCAACCCCTAAACCCTCAAACGCTCAACTCCTGAGCGAGCCAGGAACGGAAACTTTTTGAGTTCATCAGTTAGGGTTTAGGGTTTAGGGGTTAGAGTTTAGAGTTTAGGGTTGGGGGTTTGGGGTTTAGGGCTCAGGGTTTAGGGTTTAGGGTTTAGGGTTTGAGTTTAGGGTTTAGGGTTTAGGGTTTGAGGGTAAAACAGAGGGGGTCGGTAACTTGGGGGGCCAGCACAAAAATGAGACGAACCTATTGCGAACCCAAAAAGGCACAGCGAACTTCTGCGAAGCCTGCGGGGGTTCGAGGTGGGTTAGTGGTCGGGCGGGTTGTTGCACAAATCTCAGGAACGCAAGAGAAACAAGAGCAGCCCTTCTTTTCCACAAATCTGCAGCATCGACGAATGGAATGGCCCTGTACCTGCCAAGGGCAGGAGAAACTCTGCAAAAACAATGTTTCACTTCTGGCTGACAAAGCACTGCAACGCTCCTTTTTATGGCCCGGCCCCATCGATGGGAGTATGAAGAACCCGATACTCTTGAAACAATACTACAGATGACCCACAACAAGATCGTGAAAGGTGCCTCACTGAATTTGACTCCTGAAGAATAGTTGAGAAGATTCAGTTGCTTGGGTTATCGGCAAGATGAACCACGGCTTTTAGCAATGAGTTCCGTAATGGACCTACCTTGTACGACCAACCAATCAGGAATGACCTCAGAGTCATGGCCACGGCCCAGGCGTGACTCTATGTCAGCACTCACCCAGTCACGAACATTTTCGTACCAAACCACTTGGCGCTCAGCAATGGCGAGACGAGTTTGAAGGTTTGCTGCGCTCTTCTCCAAGGCGTCTTTCTCTGAGCGGAGGGACCCGAGCTCCTCCCTCAAAGCCACGCTTTCTGCACGAGCTTGGGCAGCTTCCTGAGCAGTAGCCGAGCGGGCAGGAATGAGCCCTGGTGAGTAGCAAGGGTGGTTGGGAGGGACCTGAACTGATGATGCTGCTGCAAAGGCTCTGCACACATGGGGCACTGGATGGGGATGTTCTCGTCTTCTGCATCCGAAAACTCCTCCTGAATTGATTTCTTGTCGCTTTCATCGATGCAGGACAAAAACCTTTAAATAAAAAACTCCCATCCCCAGTGACGCAAGGCAAACCAGTTTCCTGTTTGACGACAACCTCCTTCTTCACCCTCTCTTCCTTCACGGCATCGAGGAGTGGAGGGGCCTCCGCCTCATCGCAGTCGACTGAAGGGCCTTTTTTTTTTGAGGCATAGAGCTTGTTTAAGGCAGCTCGCCTCTCTTTTGCTGTCTTGGCCGCCTTCACCGTGGGATGGTCCTCGAACTTGGACTTAACCCTCTTCCTTCGACTGGCCCGGTTCCTTTCGTACAACTTGGCCAAGGCTTTTCGGCGCTCAGCAGGAGGAAGGTCAGCGATTTCTGAGTCATACTTCGACACGTTCTTGCGGACCTTGGCTTTGGCCTTGGGTGAGTCTTGAGGAACCACCGCCTCATCTTCTGACTCATCATCATCCTCATCATCCATTTTAATAGTCAGTGCGCCGACACTGGACTAGGCTGGCTAAGAAAAACCTCAAGTCAAGAAGTATGGCACTCAGCTATTATGTACTTTTATTAGAAAATATTAAAAAATGACTCTGTCTGTACTGTACTTCCTGCATTGAAGTGAAACCTTTGAATAAGCCAAAACAGAATCGCTGAAAGCTGCCAGCAAATACAAAGCAAGAGCAGCGCAACAAAGATAAACCTCTGACTCAAAACTGCTGGCTCACTGGCACGGGCGCCCGGACGGGCCCAGCGAGTCGGTGACCGTGCCTCAGCGTCACAAGAACATCCAGCTGTGACACTTCAATGGTGTGCTTCCAGAAAGTGACTGAATGCAATGCCTAGCTTTTGTTCTCTGGAGCGCTCGCGTGCACTGACTGAAGTGAAGCGAAGGTCCTCTGCCAAAATGTCTTTGTCCTCAGGCCACCCTACTCCGGAGATGTGATCTCTACTCAGAATATTATATTAACAATTCGGTTGATTCAATGAACACCTGCGAGGATGAATCTGAAGGACAAAATGACAAACCACTGGAAACTAGTCCACTGTGACGCAGCCCGGCTGCTTATTATTCGCAGCCTCCTTGAGCGGAGAGGAGCCGGTCTTCGGCTTCGACTTGGCTGGGGAGGAGCCGGTCTTGGCGGGCTTGCTTGGGGAAGAGCCGTCAACATCCAGCACACCGCCCTTGCCTTTGGGTGGAGTGGGCATCTTTGATGGCTTGCCTCGGCTCTTGCTGATGGACGGCGACTCAAACCTCTTCTTGATCTTGCGCGGGGACGGTGAGGCATGGCTACTGGCCTTTGAGGACAAAGGGCTCGAGGCGGAGCTGCCCTTCTGCCGGACCCTCCTGGGCGGCGTGAACAAGGCGTCACCGTCAGCATCGCGTCTCTTGTGGATCTTGCTCGCCTCAGCGGGAGGGGCCTTCTTCGTCTTCCCGAGCTGCCCATCTCCACCAGGGACCTCCTTCAAGAACAATGGACGGACCCAACGGTTCGCTTCGCCCAGTTCCGAAAGCAGATGGACCACATTCCTCATCAAAGCCCCCTTCTTGATGATCGCACCATCAAAGGAAGCCGCATTTTCCACAGTTGTGGCATGAGAGACAATCTCCGAAGGAAGAGCCACCCTGTTCTTCTTGTCTGTCGGGTCGACGCCAGCTCCGTAGCAGAGGAACCCCTCAGTCGCGTCCGAGTTGATGTCGATGGACCAATAGGCATGATGGTCCCAGAACTCCTGCTGTTGCTACTTAACCGTGATCACATCAACAAAGCAGAAGGACAACTTGATTCATCATTACTTAACTTGTAACAAGAAAACTCGCCAGTTATTTAAATAATTTAGTCTGTCAAACTGTCAGTGCCCATGCATGTCACGTAACACATTCCGAGCTCCAGTCCTGGACCTTGTCGCTGATGGGCCTCCAGTCTTTGGCACGCTTGCCAAAATCAGCCCATCTTTCCTTGAACTCTTCGAGGAGCCGGCTCAAAATCTTTGTCGGAAGGGCCGATGTTGGACTCATGTGCACAAGGAACGCAAGGATCGCTGCCAGCTCCTCCTTCTTCGTCTTTCGGGGAAGGACCTTCAGCCATTGATGGGCCTGCGGGAGCAAGTCGGAGAGGATGTCCAAGAGCTTGGGCTTGGAGATGAGCCTGATCTTGTTCATGTAGGGAGCCAGTCTGTCCTCATCCTCGTCGTCACTGGAGGAACCATCCCACACCCCTTTCTTGACGGACGCCAACATTGAGGAGCACTGCGCTGGATGGGCCCGCAGCCATTGGATCATCTCTTCCAGCGTGGCCTCCTCCCCCTCAGCCATCGTCGTCTTTGCTGCGCAGCGAAGATTCTTCTTCGCGGCGGCCTCCTTAAGAAGGACCTTCTTCTCCATCTTCTTGCTCGCAACACCTTTCTTCATCGCCTTCGGCATTGCTCACTGAAGGACCACCGGTTCAACTACTCACAGACAGTTGACTTCGAGGGACGAAGGCTTGATCACGAGAGCTGCGCGCAGTAAGATTTCAATGAAAGACCTGCGCTTCGCAGATTTCCGCTCCGGCTTGAAACAATCTTCGTCATTTATCTCAGCTGCCAGCAGTCAGCAGAACCATGTCCTTCTGCGACGATTCATCGGGGGAAGAACCTGCGAGAAGGGCACGCTCGCATTAATGGATCCCTAAATTTGATAAGCAGTTGCATACATCAGACTGGAAACGATGAGAAGAACCATAGCTGAGTCCGTGGCGGAGTTCGGAGGCGGGTTCGAAGGACCTGCCGGCGGAGAACACGAGGTAAGGTTTCCAAGTTGACCTTTAACTTATTATTATGAATTCTACATATAAATGTATATATATATATATATGTGTGTTTCTTCATCGTCTGTGGGCTTGGCGTGGGTCCTGCTGCAGTTCTACATTACATCATCACCTCGTCTGTGCTGACCACGCACGGTACTTTTTTTCCTGGCCTCTTGAAGTTCCAAGGCCGGCTCCAAATTGAAACACTTTTCAATAGCGGCAGACTGCCGGATGGCCCCACACAGTAAGACGGAACTGATCAGTAGTGACAGTGCAAATTCAGGATGCTAAACGTTACTCTAACTTTTATGAATCTCGTCCAGGGCCTACTGGATGGACCCTGGCGCTCGAATTTCAATCATCAAGAAAGTCCCAGGGGCAGGGGTCGTTCGGATGAAGTGCCTCATGGCGTGTCCATACGCCACGAAGGACCAACCGTGCTGGAACGCTTTCTTTGCCACATCTGCCCCACGACCTCGATAGACTCCAATTGTAGCTTTTATGGAAGGCCCTGATGCATTTGTTGAACTCGTCCCTGTACATGCGGTACTCGGCAGGTGCGAAACGCTGAAGAACCTCAGCAGGCCATGCTTCATCTCCCGGGAACCGGACAGCCTTGCGCTTGACCTTCTTCTTCCCAGCAGGCCGCAGCCGCTGGATGGACCTTGTGATTGAGAGGACCTGCCTCTGACTAGCCTGGGCTTCCTTGATTGCCTGCTCCAGTTTTTGTTGGTCCTGCTTTGACTGAAGGACCTCGTTGAACAGGGGGTTCTGGAGAAGGTCCAAAAGCTCTGCATCGTCTTTTTCACGCTCATGCAACGCGAGCTCCAGCGCATCCGCCGCTTTCTCATCGGATGGACCCAACACGCATTTGATTCCTGACAGGAGAAGGTCCCCCACCAAAGACTCATCCGAGGAACCCATGTCCTGCCCGAACTCCTCCTTCAACAGCAGTTTCAGGACCGTCATCGATACATTCGGGAACCCCCTCTCGGCGCAATACTCCAGAATGTCTTTCTCAGACCCACTTCGCCACAAAAGAGGGACCTCGTGCTCGGACGTGTCCTTTGTTCGGACCGAATGTTCCAAAGGACTTATCGCCGAGGCAGGCTGGACGGACCACTCATCGAATACACACACCTGCACCCAATGAAGCCTCTCGGCGGTCACAGGAAGGACCTATGCCAGGGGCCGTTCAGTTAAGTTTCAAAAAAATTGCCATGCCCAATTTGTCTGCCCAATGTTCCACCCCCGGGCCTGCCAGCCACCATGTGCAGTCTGATGGACCTCCATGGTCAAGACGCCGGCATTGCTCGGCCAGGCGCCCATGCTCAATCTCGGCTTGCTCCAAGACTTGCGTCGCACGAGAAGGCCCATGGTCAACATCGCGCTCCGCCATGACTCGGACCTGAGCCGTTATTTAATTCAACTACACTCTTTTCCGCTGCCATCGCTCGTGCTCTCTCTCTATCTCTCTCTCTCTTTCTCTCTCTCTCTCTCTCTCTCTCTCTCTCTCTCTCTCTCTCTCTCTCTCCTCTCTTCTCTCTCTCTCTCTCTCTCTCTCTCTCT